CACACACACACACACACACACACACACACACACACACACACACACGCACACACAATGTTGGGTTCAGCTCTTCCAGGAGAGGCCCTTCCCCGCAGGGGGAGGGGGCTGTGGGGCAGGAGCAGGCCTCCTTCTGGAGGTTTGGGGAACTCAGCTGGGCTCACGGATGGGGTGACCCCCCGGCTGGCATTTCTTGGGCCAAGGGCGAGTCTCTTCGAGGATGACGGGGTTGCTGGCTCTGGGTCTGCCTTGGCCTAAGGTGGGGTGGAGCCTCGGCCCCGGCTGGCCTTGGTCCCAGGTGTCCTGCCTCGCAGGTGAGCCCTTCCGCTTGGGCCTGGCTGTGTGCACGACGAACAGGCAGCTGTCCCTTGTGATTTAGGGCCTCCTTCGCCCGCGGTTCCCAGGAAGATGACAGGAGCGTGGAGGTGACCTGAAGTCTCCGCTCCCCATGGCCAGCCGGATGCAGGCAGAGCGGCACATCCTTCTCCTTGTGCCATGAAGGAGGGGTGGGGGGGCATTTGGTCCCAGGAGCGGCAGGACAAAAGCGGGCCAGTCTCTCCGCAGCACTCGGGGGCTGGGAGACCCCCTGCTCCCTCCCCGTCCAGCCCTGTGGTTGAGGGGCTGGCCAAATTCCCTGCCTCTTTGCTGGGCAGCCCTGGAGCCCCTCCCGCCCCCCCTCCAAGCCCCTCAAGGCCAGCCCTCCTCTGGCCTCCCTTTCGGAGCCTTCACCTGGGCGCACAAGCCAGGCGTCTCCTCCCTGGGCCCCCAGAGGCCCCAGGGCCCCTCCCGCCCCGTTTCCTCTGGCTAAAGGGGAAGGTGGGGGCTCATCCCTCAATGCAATGGGGAGGCGATGCTTTCCAGTCTTCCCAGTTCCCATCACACCGCCCAAGGCTGCGGGAAGTCTGGGACCCTCCCCAAGCAACTCCCCTCCCCCAAGTTGGGGCACTGCCCCTCTCAAGATCGGGGGAGGAGGGACCCGCCAGGTGCAAGGCTGGGCTTTCGGCTGTCTTTAAGGCAAGCTATGTCCTGGCAGCTATTTTTAGCCCAGTCCGGCCGTCCAGCAGCTGCTGTTATTTTAATCTGTGCCTGAACTGGTGCCAGGAGCTGCTGGGGCTGAAGTCAGCCGGGGCTATTTTGGGCCTTTCTGCTGACCCGCCAGCTTCCCTGTAACCCGCCGCCTGGCTGTTCTGTCCCAGAGGCACCTGGGCCCCAGGACACCTGGGGTGGTGGGGATCTGTCCACAAGCTCCACTCGGGGGGCGGGGGGGAAGCCCCTCCTGCGGAGGTCAGCAAAGGGGAGGGGCCTCTTCTGCTTTGCTCAAGCTGGGCCCCTCAGCAGCCCATCCAGGGAATTGGGCCCCTCCGGGCCCCAAGTGGTCGGCGCAGTAACACCCCCCCTCCTCCTCCCCAAATGATGGACGAGCTGCCTCTCCTCCTTTTCTGACGTCTTAGGCCAGCGTCCTTGAAAGGAAGCGAGGAAAACCTCTTCCGTCCGGAGGCACAGAAGGCTCGGAGAAGGCCCTGCCCCCCGAGGCCAGGAGGGGGCCGAAGAAGATGGGTGGTCCAAGGGGCGGCCAGCTCCACGGTCACTTCCCTGGTCCGAACATTCAGTCGACCCCCACCCCCCGCCCTCTTTCCTTGGACCCCCATTTCCAGACCCCCAGTGTTCTTTCTGAATGAAGCAGCCTTGGGGGGAGGGGAATGGCGGGACTGCGTTTATTGCATCTTTCAGCTACTAATTGGGCTACAGGCCGTGAGGGGCTGGATCCAAGGGGCTGCCCGGCTCTTCTCTGGGGCTTAGTAGTAGGTCTCCTTCTCCACCCAGCCTGGAAAGGAAAGAAAACAGCCAGAGGTCAATAGCTGGAGGTTCTTTCTGCGTGTGTGTGTGTGTGTGTGTGTGTGTGTGTGTGTGAGAGAGAGAGAGAGAGAGAGAGGTGTCTGTGTGTGTGTGAGAGAGAGAGAGAGAGGGAAAGGGAGAGAGATTGGGTGGGGGGAGAGAGAGCTGCAAGCGGGAAGTCTGCCCCACCCCCCACCCCCCGCAGGCTGCTCTCAAGGCAGGACTCCAAAGCCCATGGTTCTGCAAGGAGGGTGGAAGCATCACCTGGAAGACCAGGTGCCGTGGGAGAGCGGAGGGGGCTGGACGGGGGAGCCAGCACAAAAGGGGCCGATCCGGTCCTCCCACTGCATAGAGAAGGTGGGGGGCAGCCGGGGGGGGCACACTCACCCCCGGGGTAGCGCCGCAGAAGCAGCTTCCGGACCTCGTCGTAGACGAAGATGAGGAGGCTGTAGGGGAAGGCGCAGAACCACCAGGTGACCCTGCAAGACAGAGAGAGAGAGAGCTGGCTCAGAGGGGCCGCCAGTGGGGCGCAGGGGCTGGAGACAGGAGGGGAGGAGCCCCGGTGCCTGGGGGAGGAGGAGGAGCGGCCCCACTCACTTGAGGGGGTACATCCGGAGGGCCACCCCCATCCCCGGGCAGTACGACAGGAAGGCAGCCAGAGCGGTTTCCTCCAGGAGGCCGAAGATCAGGATCTTGTTCCTGGGAGAGAGCGAGAGACGGGGGCTCAGGGGTGGCAGGAGCTGCGGGCAGCAGGCGGCCTCTCTGGGCGCTCATTCATGGGGCACGATGGCGGAGGAGGAGCCTCCGTGGGCAGAGGCAGTCTACCTTTGGACACGGGTTCTGGGGAAGGGCTGTTCTGATGGCCTCGAGGCCCAGACGGGGGCTCCCGCCAACCAAGGAGGAAGGAGGGCTCCCCAAAGGCCACCTGGCCTGCCTCATCTGTGGAAGGCGCCCAGCTCACTTCATGCCCTGCTGGAAGACGGAGTTCCGGCGCGTCTTGCAGATGATCAGGTCAGCCCACTGCACCACCACGATGCTGGCAAAGAAGGCCGTGTGGCAGGTGAACTCCACCACCTTCCGCTGCTCGTATGTCTGCCGGGAGGGAACACACACCGCCCAGTGGGGACCCCTGGAGAGGCAGACCCCCCCCACAAAGGTCCCCTTGTCTGCCTCTGGCCGGCAGAGCTCCCTTACGCTACAGCAAGGCAGCAGCCAAGCGCGGAGCCCTTCCGACTCACCCACTCCTGGCCGTAGCTGTCCTCCAGGTCGTTCTTGGAACGGTCGTCCCATTCCAGGCGGATGCCCAGCAAAGTGTTGGGCAGGAAGCCGTTCTCGGCCAGGATGACGAAGTAGGTGAAGAAGCCCCCCAGGGCCTGGATCATGCCTGGAGAGACACACGGGAGCGGGGGGGTTCCCTTAGCTCCTTGGCGAAGCAGCCCCTTGAGGCCACGGGTGCCCCCGGCCCAAGTGGCCTGGCTCACCAATCTGCCCGTAGGCCATGCTGATGAGGCGCTGGTTCACCAGCTT